GTATATGGACATTAAAAGTGAGTCCCCATTTGCTGTTTAACTGTGGAATTTTGGACATGGCAGTGCAGCAGCAGAACGTGTTTCCTCTGCACAGAACATCTACATGATTATGAATACAGTGGTTATAATTCCTGGTTTGTGATTGGTGCATTGATTTCCTAGTTGTGAATTGCAGCCAATCACAGGCCTGGGTTTGTGCAGAATGAGGGATTATGTTCAAAGGCACATTTGGAATGGGAAAGATGGATTAGAGACAGTGAAGGCACACACACACACACACGAGGGACATGAGAGACCGTGACACATGAGGGACATGATCCACTGTCACACATGAGGAACATCATAGACCATTACACACTCGCGGGTTTGACATTTACTCCATTTCATCTATTCAAATAACTTTAGATTTACGCTCTGTTGAAAATCTCCATGTGCTTCAAAAGATTCACTTTATTTTCTATGGAAAATGTGTTTCATGTTTAATGTGCATCCAAGACCAAAGACTATGGGCCGTGGTCCTGGTTTCATCTTGGTTTGGTCCTGGTTTGGTCCTGGCCTAGTCTTGATGGAGACTTAGTTTAGTCCTGGTTTGTGTGTGAACGCTGCTCATGTGAAGGATTCCAGTTGCTACTGCTATTACTAATGCTACTATTACTACTACTACTACTACTACTACTACTACTACTACTACTATTACTACTAATGCTGCTACATAATTAATCGTTGCATTTATATAGTGCCTTTCAAGATACCCAAAGCGCTTTACAGTTCATTCTTCATTCACTCCACACTCAATGGTGGTAAACTACTATTGTAGCCACAACTGCCCTGGGGCAGACTGATGGGAGCAAGGCTGTCAATCTGCTCCAAAGGCCCCTACAACCACCACCATCACTCACTCACACGCCACTTTCATACTAGGTAATGTGGGTGAAGTGTCTTCCCTAAGGACATAACGACAGTTTTTGCCACTGTCGCCCCCTGTGGCTCCTGGAATTCCCAGTGTCTCAGTCCAAGTTCTGACCAGACCCAGACCTGCTGAGCCTCTGACATCTGACGGAATCAGACTTTGACAAGCCGGTATGGCCACAGTACTACTACTACTACTACTACTATTGCTACTACTACTACTACTACTACTACTGCTACTACTACTACTACTAATGCTACTACTACTACTATTACTAATGCCACTGTTGTTAATGTTGTTGTTGTTGTTCTTTTTGTTCCACTCATGCTTAAGATCAAATTCCAGGCGGCGATGGAGAAAGCTCCTCCTCGATTAACGACATAAATGTTAATCTTCTCGGATCCTTCTGAGACATTTCCTCAGAGCTCAGGGTTTAAAGCTGCTCACATACACATGCAGTAATAATCCTACACACATCGAAGTACCACCATAGCTAATGACATAACAGTATAAAGTATAAAGTATAAAACCCGCTCTGGGAAATACTGCTTTGCACACTGCCCCTTTAAAGCTCTGCATTATTTGTAGCTGCGTTGGAATGTTGTTTCCTCCTCAAAAACAGACCCAGAGTTGTGTTTTATTTCATTCACACATGTTTAAGTAATCCTTTATAATTAATCTGTCTACATCTCCAAAACTCAAAATACTCTTCCACCTTGTGATGTCATCAAGTGGTAGTTTTAAAGGTAACAGCTATTTTTAGCTTCTTTTGAACTGATTCACTGTAGCCTTACTTGACAGAATAATCATAAATTGCGATTGCCAGAGGAAGTGAAATATCTTCTGATGTCCCAGAGAGTGGAGAAAGTTCAAGAAGGATCAAACAATTGTTGCAGTTTCAAGGTTTGGCAATTCCAGGGCTGCAATTTTTCCAAATATGTCAAGTGAAGGTGTATGGAGCACTACCTGTATTATCACATGACATCATCAGGTGGAACAGGAGTGTTTTCTATTTGAAAGAGGGACTCATGAAACATGTGAACATGTGAATGAAACAAAACACAACTGCAGGTGTGTTTGTGATGAGGAGACAACAACACTATGACACGTCAAAAGTTTACAGGCCCTTCCTGACACTGTGGCGTGTGTGTGTGTGTGTGTGTGTGTGTGCGTGCGTGCGTGTGCGTGCGTGTATGTGTGTGTGTGTGTGTGTGTGTGTGTGTCTGTGTGTGTCTGTGTATGTGTGTGTGTGTGTGTGTGTGAATGGGTGAGTGGTTCTTTGTTGTAAAGTGCTTTAAGTGCCTTGAAGTTGGAAAAGCGCTATAGAAAAATGTGACCATTTACCATGTTGCTGCCTCCAGGAAGAACAGCTGAAAGCTCATGGAGGCCAATTCAATCAATTCAAATACTGTCCCACTTTAACTGTATGTTTTTAACTGTATGTTTGAATAGTATTATAGTGTGTTTATGTTGTTAGAATAAATAATAATAATAATAATAATAATAATAATAATAATAATAATAATAATAATAATAATAATAATAATAATTATATTATTATTATTATTATTATTATTATTATTATTATTAATGACTAATCTGGACCTTGGGTAAAAATACATCAATTTACACAATGACTGATTGACAGAAAACTTTTATTTACAACATAACATGTTCATCACATGTCCTCGCCTCCTTTGCTTCTTCGTGTACTTGTTTATTTAATGTTTTTTGTTGGCTGGTGGTAGGTTGGACCCACCATCATTTCTGGGTTGTAGTACATGGTCTGAAAGGGAGCTGTGGGAACTGTTGTTGGGTTGGTATATCCAGTCATTTGTGGGACTGTTAGATAATAATCCGGTGGTACCATCATCGCACGGTAGTTCCATAAAGGCTGAGCGGGACCTGCTGGAGCTGTGGGGTGGGTATAAGCTGCAGGTGATGTTGTGTTGCTTTTCCGTTTCCTCCGCCCAAAGTTATCAATGGGGGACCACCCTGGGAACTTGGCCTCGTGCTCCCTCTTAGCCACTCTTGCCTGCTCGAAATATGGGGCTTGTTCATTGTCTGAGAGCCTTGTCCATCTCGCCCCGGCAATTCTGTTCACCTCCGCCGAATTAGTGATATTAAATTGTTGCATAATAAGTTCCCTCTGCTCAGCCTTGTACAACATGAAGGCGTTAGGAGGTTTTTTGATGTAAGGCTTCTTGTCTCGATTGACTGCTGCTTGGGCTGTATTATTGGCAGTTCCTATTGGTCCGGTTATCTGGAACATTTTTCTCCCATTGATTATAACTGGACAAAGATTTGAGGGTCTGACAATTGCACATGGCATTTGTGGATTTGCCGTGTGTGCAGATGGTCCAGGCACTTGCTGGTACTGGCTCCAGTTTGGT